GCAAGAGGACGGTTAGATGAAAAAGAAGAGGGAAAATAGAGTCAATAATATGGAAGGTATGCCATTGATGTTATATTAAGTTAATTATTTATTAAGAGAAAATTGCGGGATCGGGATTGCGACCTTAAAACTGACGGGATTGCGGGATTGAAAAAAAAAATTAGCGGGATTGCGGGATTGAAAACCCCCTATTGTGGACCCTCTATTAACTGACGCCAACCAAGGAATTGGACTGGAGGTTTTTCATTGTTTGCAATATCTGTATATAACGGTCAAATCATGTATCATAGTAATATTCAAGATTTTTTTGTAAATTTACAAAAGCTTTAGTAGAGATTTTTCAAAAGTCAACTGGATCGCTTAGACTTATTATACGTGACCGACTGACCAGCCGTTGTGATGTAATCTATTTGAGTGGCCTGGAAACTAGCTAGCGCCGTTGTCAAACTCTAGAATTTTAGCGGTGTCGCGGAGTGTTTAATCATTGTTTATCGAACTTCTAAGAGCTCACTCTCGGCATTTCTTGGCCTAATTCCATCATGGGCTTTAGCTTTAAGTACACTCGCTATTCTGCCATCGCTCAAATCACTTTGGGAGTTTTGAGCATTGTGTTTGGTATCGCTGATCGAGCTGTGATGTACAAGAGACACGCTTTTCACTCGGAATCTGTTGTGCCGATATGGATGGGTGTTTGGGTAAGACAGATTTTCGATGACGGGAATAAATGGTGAAATTAATTTTAGCTTTATATTGATTTAACTTCAACAACAAATGCAGCAAAAAAATAATCTTTCGCACCCCAAAAAAGTAAACAAAAATATCCTGATAAAGTATTATGTATGACGTCATTTCTCATCTTCCGTTTATAAATGTCGACATTCACAAAATATAATTTTGATATATGAAACGCAAAACAACTGCCATAGTCAAATGTCTTTTAAAATTTTGGTTTTCTGTCTAATAATTAAAATGGTGGTAATTGATTAATGTAGCTTATCAATTATACATTAGTATTGAGAAGTATTAAGTTAATATTTTTTATTTTCTTTAGTTTGTTATCACTGGAGTCATTGGTGTACATGGAAGTAAGCGCAGCAATGCTAGGGATGGAAGAGCATCTAGGCCACTGGTAAACCAATCTTACTATCACTAATGAAATCAGGCGTCAATTAATTGAATTTATATTAAAAAGTTCCTAACTTTGACATGTTTAAAATAAAATACAATGTTGTTTAAAATAAAATACAATTTCTCACACACTGTTTAAACTAACCTAATAATTATTCCACCAAGAATGCAAATGTTAAGACTCACACTTTGCATATAATTTTCTCTTGTAGATTGGGACCTACCTTGCTTTTAGTATTGTCTCTACTGTATTTGCTGCAGTAATCATCATTATGTATACCATTGGAGTTGCAAGAGTCATAACAAAAGGCTCTCCTTGTCGTTATGCAGAAGAATATGTGTATGTTTATAACAGCCAACACTATCGTGACTACAAATACATATCAGTAGAAAAGGAGTGCAAGACAAGTGTTGCTATGGGTTC